AAGGCTTTAAGAATTTTCACTTTCGCTAGTTCATTGAAATTCCAGTCGCGAAGTTTGTTTCTGAAGAAATTCAAGCCATTATTTCGTAATTAGAAAATTCACTTGAATTTTGGAACTTCGACTGCCTTAGAGAGCGAAAGCCTCCCGGAAGATAATTTAATTCTTGTCCTGTTTGTTTGCGGTGTTTAATCGGAATTAATTAAACTTAGTTCTATAAGGAAGAAGAGAGGGCTTGTCTCGTGATAGTAACAGATGACCGACCCACAAAAGATTACTTACTAAGCTGACAGTTCATTACACTTAGATTTAAGATCACTACAACACTAATTGGAACACAAGATTATTGTACATTTCATTTAATTCCCATTATGTTTCATTACAAAGAAAAGTAAAAAAAAGCAAAAAATCAGGTGTACAGATTTACTTTATACTTTTGGTATATTAATTTTGATCTAATCTGTCTAATCTGTACATAATTATTTCATTACAAGAATGTAAATAATTAAATAGAAAAAACATGTATAGTTTAGTTTATAGTATAATGTTACTAAAATATCATAATGTTTTCATTTGGCCATTTATGGGCGAATAATAACCGAATGGTTAAGTCGTTCTACCCACGAGCTAGTGGGGGCAGGTTCAAATCCTGGTCAAGCCAGGCCCTTTGTGGTCCCTGTCGGTGTTCGCAGCCATCGTTCATTACAGATGGACAGTGAAATGAATGAGGTTCAGTGTATGGACCTTCAGCCAAGTCGATGAACAATGACACTGTTAAGGTTAGCAGCAGATTCACAGTGAAAGGTAATAGTGGAATTGAGCAAAATAAATTGTAAGAAAAATGACTTCAAAATGGAACGCATTATTGTATATCACATTAGTTTATATGCGGAATTGTTTCACTATACGAGTGAAAATTAGGAAATTTTGGAACGGATTATGCTCGTTATTTATATTTAACAGTGTAGGTATAGCTTTATATTTTGTACATTTTATAGCATTTATTTACAATGCACTCTATTTAAAAGCGATGTAAATAATAGATATCAACAATATTTTTCAGTTTAGAACATAATACTTTCCACATAAAGCTAAATTTAATCCATTTATATATTCTATTTTTGAAAGTTTATCCAGATTAAAAAAAAATGCAATGATTTCAATGGCATTATAAATATAAATAAAGCTAAAATCGTTTTATTTTGCACAATTTATTTGAGCATTCATTTCAGCAAAAAAAAAACATATTATAATTTGATATTATCGTAATTAACAAAAATTAACATTCTTTATTTTTATGTCCGATTTTGTAACTCGAGTTAGCAAAATATTTTATAGTCTTGATTATAAATTAATGGTAAGTTTTTATATTTCCTAACTTTGCTATAATGTATACATTTCTTAATTGTTATTCTTAAGTGAAGGATAATATTTTTCTTCATACCAAAAGGAATTTTAGTCTAGATATTTCAATTAAAATTGATCGACCTTCTAATGATCTTTTGAATTTCATACATTTTTAAATTTTAACGATCTATAATAGTATATTATCAAATGAAATTATTCGAACTAGACAATCCTATTGGTTATCATTAATTAATTACTTACTAAGCTGTGAGAGGAAGTATTGACAGAAGTTCTGATGCTTTAGATCGTGTCGCGATACGAATATGTCTTTACCTTCAGCAAGTTCCCGAGGACAAATTCCATGCGAACTTCGCCCGGTGACAATCCTTTGAACCACAAAGACAACTTTGAACTACGGTATAGAATGCGATTTGCTCGGAAGATGCAGAAGAAGAAAATCTCTCCTCATACCAAGACTATACGAAGATGTGCAACCCTTTACATCCAGATTATGGGATGCAGTCCAGAATGAATAAATGTAACGTAATTGAAGGATCCTAATATTTCGGCTGATTCTGTGCGGTAGGGCGAGAGAGTTTATGTTAAATGGAGAGTGAGAAATGTAGTCTCCCCAAAATTTTGGAAGGTTGCCCGAAAACGACTTCATAAGGTCGTAAATTCGGCATGGACGAGGCGTATTAAAATTAACAGAAAACGTTTGGTGGAATTCGCAGGGCAGAAAGGCCGGTCATCCTCTTGCGCCGGTTCATTTACCAAATTAGGAGGCAATATCTGAGGCACGTCGAAAACGATGCAGCATGTTTCTAATCTAGGGCTAATGGCAAAACAATGCTTTAAATTGACTGAGGAACGCGCGGAATTCCAATATATTTTCTGAAAGGGCACCGTATGAACTATGAGGGTGGAAGTCGTCCTTTTCCAGAGACGATTTATTTACGCTCATAGCTAATTTCATTGAATTTAATTTAATTGCGACACAGCTCGAAGTTCCATCGTTCACAACTCGCAATACTTTTCCAACTCAATTTTGTGTTCTTTTCCTAAATGGCAACTATTTAAATTGGACTACTTATGCTGTTTTTACGGTTATTTCCGAGGCGGCGGCAGCATTTCAAATGCACACGCTACGCCTTTCATCTGGCGAAAACAAGGGCAGAATATAGATGGAGGTTTTTTCTTTTTATATATACAAGGAACCGCCCTTGTAGAAGATCTATTATTTCAAGAAGATATTAAGCAAATATTGGATTCTCATAGTTAAATGTTTCTTTTTAGAATATCTTTTGATAGCACATACAATTACTATTATCTGAAGAAAAATGAAAAAATTTCCATCTATTTCATTAATAATGTAAAATTTAAAAATATATATTATCCTGTTTTAGTTCTAAAGGAATAATGAGATTATGTAGAAAACTTATAAATTATCATTACAAAATCTCATATAGTTTATACTTTAAGCATTTTCTATTATTTCTGTTATATAAAACAAGGAAAATATCAGTATATGTAACACAAATTTAATAACGACAGAAATGCCTCGCTTAATCCAATTTCAATCAATTTATTTAATAATATTAATTCACAGGATGATGACATTGAAGTCATTAATAATCTTATAGAAACTTATAACAATTATCAATGAACAACGAGATTATGCAGAAAAGAAGAAAAAAATCAGTTTTAGTATTCTTTACCATTAATATTTCTTAAATAAATAAAAATTAACAGTATTTTCAAGGCAATTTACATGGTATCAGCATTACCTCGCTTAGTCCTATTTCAAAAATCTCCATAAAATGTATCTTGTGATAGATACTAATAACAGAATTGAGATTAAAGTTAGTTTAATCATATTAAACAAAATAAAAGAAAAACATTGCATCATCCCATACAATTATTTTTATTTGAAGAAATGCAACTGTAATGTTTTCAGAAGGCAATTTTAATGAATTCAACAAGTCTTCGCTTGATCCTATATCGATCAATTTCATTTATTTTGGACGAAGGACCAAGTTCAAATTGTTTTACTACATCTTATACTTCTATACTTAATACAATTCTTAACTAACATTCTATTCAACTACTAAACTATTACTTCTTCTCCGTGATTATCTTCTCTGAGCTAATCTTCCTCGACAACTTCATGATGTGCATTGTTGCCACCTTTCACAACCATTGTTGCACGCAAACATCATTAATGTTATAAAATTTCAAGATTCTTATTATTTTTAAATCGTTACCTACGTAATAGATACTAAAGAATAATTAGATTTTGCTCATAAAGAAATTACTTAAGTAATGTTATTCAATTAATAAACAACGAAATTATACGAAAAGGAAGACAAACTTAAGTTTTAATATTTTGAGAATATAAGTCTTCATTACATCTAATTATTTATAATTTCAAGAAAAGTATAAATATTTTAATAACGCACTTTTCATAAATATAACAATAACCCGTTCAATCTTAATGCTATTCATTTAATAAAAGATGTAAAATATGAATTGATTAACTCATTATCATTATTTAAACAAAAAATAATTTTAAAAGTTCTCTATCTTTTTGCCTAGAAATGCATTATTAATTAATTATCTTTTTAAATCTCATCATTCAAACTTATTTTTATATAATTTCTATTTATTGAACAGAAATTAATATTACAAGAACTAATATAACAATAAAATCTAAACTGAGAGAAAATTTAAAGGGAAGATCATAAAATACTGCGTGTCTGGTTATAGCCGGATGGGTGGAGTGAAGTGGAAAACGCGTACGAGGTATTGGCCGACGTCCAAGATCTCAAAAGCATCCACTAGATTTTCCTCCACTCCAACAAAAATCAATAAGCGTCTTTCCATCTCTCCAGCTTTCTAATCGTTTTCGCTCAACCGAACGCAACAAATGAAGTATCATCCGCTCGGACAGAAATCAAACGATTCCAAATATGAAACTGCAATTTTCACTGCACATTTCCCCAACAAAACACATATATTTTTTTTATACATTTCGAACGGACGCAATTTGCGTGCAGCAGCGTTCGCTGCAATAACAGATCGTTACGTTCGCATCGCCGCAGCCGATACGTAATTTAAATATAAAATTGCGATTTACGTAATGGAGAAATAATTGCATCAATTCGACGACCCCAAATTGGAGAAAACAACTGCAAAAAAAAAAATAGAAAACGCGCACACAGGTAAATGAATGATGATGGTATCGTGTTGCTTTTTACATGCGAAACACGAGATATTTACAAATCAATTTGCGGATTGATTTTTATTTTATTTATGTTGTGCGCCGAAACTTTTGGGTCATTAATATTTTGTATGGAAATCGTACGCGTTTACCGAAAATATTCGCAAAGTTAAATTGAATTTTTTATTTTTATCTGAGCTCTTCCCCTCGATTTCTTCGCGAACACTCCGGATATGGAGTGTCGGTGTTTTCCTAAGGGGATGATAATTGCTTTAAGTCGTAAAGCCGCATAGATACTTGCCAGAATTTCGGGGCGAGGCAAAGACAAACATTGAAGTTATACTGAAACTGTATTTGCGACTTTGGTAGATACAAACTTTTATTATTAGACTTAGTATTAGGACTAATCGGTGTCGTTGTGTATTTTTCCAGAGGCGGACTACACTTTGGATGACTCCTTCTGGATCGACGAGAGTCCAGCAGGTGAGTGAAATCGTTCTTGCATATTGCGAACAATGGAAGCGCAAATTGCTGAAACTGCGAAGTTTCAGTCGTCGACGTTATTATTTATATTATTATTTCGTTCCATTTTCATGTTAATTGGTGTACAGCATTGTGGCCATCACAATGCCTTGAGAAATTCAATTTAAATTTTCGGGGCGCGACAATTTTTGGATGGGGGATGAAGATGGGAGATGGGGGGGGGGTGGACGCTGCCACCACCGCCGTCGCATTCCCCTTCAGCCGCCTTCGATTAATTAATTGTGAAATAAAAGGAATCGCGCGGCGGCCCGGAATAATTGATCGTCTCGCCATTCAAACTGCGGAGACGTTATAACGATAGTTAACGAACAAGTTAATTAGTGTAACTACTCTCCCATCTCATCATCCATCCATACTCAGCTTGTTAAGGGATGCATTAAACCATTCGCAGTTTCATTAACATTCCCTCGACGTTTGTGCTTTTATTCTGCCTTTTCCGAGCATAATTTTCAATAATATTCAATTACTGTCACAAACCCATTGATGTGACAAAGCAGAAACTGAATTGTCAAACATCTTGACAAGTAACTACTTTAACTTCATTCATCAATTAATTTTGATGGTGCTTTTTCAAACAAGTTACTTGGGAAGTACTGCACAGGGGAGTTGCAACTTTTACTAAATGAAAAATCGCAATTTTCAATAATTATTGTCAATATCTCACTGACTTTACACAGTTGCAACTGAATTGTAATAACTTCTCAAATAGTAATATATAGTAAACATTACTTCTATTCTAATTACTTCATATATCATGTTATTGTGATATTAGTGACAAGTTGCTTAACAAATTACTAACTTCTCTAGATTATAATACTTGTATAAAAGGTAGTTACTTTTGCAATACTAGTGAATTCAAAGCTCTAATAAATAAAAATAATAAAATTACTTTATGAGATGTTATAACTTTGTCAATGATATGTTAAAACCCGATTGTTGGAACTTGACATGTATTGTAATATATAGTATGCATTGCCAACTATACTTTAATTAGTTCATACACCGTGCTATTTTTATAGTGATGCATGAGACAAGTTATTTGATATGCATAAATAAAATCCGATATAAACATCTCATTGATATTACAGAGTTCAAATTGAATTGCCATATTTTCTCAAGTATTAATATATATTCACTACTTTGACAAGAAACTCATTAACTGTTACCATTTCATACACTATGTTATTATATATTGGTGACGACACTTGCGATACGTTACTTGACAATTAACGTACAAGGGAAGCGCATTTTTTATAATAATTGCTTGAATCATAAAATCCGATAAGAAGATACTACTCAATTGTTATCGACGTCTCATGTCTAGTGCAAAACTAAAACAATTACTTGGAAAGTACCACGTATGAAAGGCTGCCTATATTATAAAATACGTTACAAAAGTGACGATAAGCACCATTTAGTTGTAGAAATATGAGCAAAGAAATTAAAATAAATGAATCTATTCTAAATCTACTTTTATTTTATTCATTTTTAATAGTCAGTGCTTTCTGAGTTTTTTATTTTCCATAACATATGAGTTGATTATCTAATAATTTTAGATTCATAAATATTGTGTTGACTATTTTTATTACATAAGTTATGACCAAGTATTTTATAGACAATCTTACATATTTATATGATGCATAAATAATAGTAATTAATTTAATTATGAGATAACAAAATATACTTCAATTCAATATATTTACCAATATTCTTTTCAGTAGTTTTTCAATTCTATTTCTTTTATTTAAAGTTTAATCACAAAAATAAAACATTTTGTTGTGTTTTCAATATATTTTTTAAAAAAACTAGAGATAGAATAAAGTTTAATTTATAAATATACGTGAGAATTGCAAAATAAATTTTGACCCGAATAAAAGAAAGTTAGACTATTTTGGCCTCAGATTCTATTAAGGTCTTTCCCTATTTACGTTATTTCCGTTTAAGTGTTTCGGAACGGTCGTTCCGCCGCGTTGGGTCGGATCCCTTTCGGTATCTTAAGTAAATTTTCTTTAAACAGCTTTCACTTTCGGTACTGAAAAGCGAAAGAAATCCAGATGATATTCATTCTCACTTTCCTTTTCAAACGACCTTTAGTGAAATCAATTGTATTTGTTTACTTTGAAAGAGATCAAACGTTTCAAATTTACTACATTACATTTATTCACAACTTAGAATTAGATGAATGAATAATACATACAAGTTGTATTTAATTATTTGAAATCTTTTTTATTTCTTGAATGTTTTCATATTTTCAAACCGTACTATAATGAATACCAGCCTGATTGAAGCTGAACTATGATAAAATACAATATTTAGTATAAAAACTAATGAAATTGTAATTTGAACACATAGTGATAAAATATAAAAGCACTAACACTTATCATGTATTTTACTGATACAATGTATACATATAAATAGGCGATGTAATAAATTGCTTTGTGTATACTCAATTAACTGTTACTTCATATCATAGTGTATGTATCATAGATGTACGGATTGCTCAATCAAATTATAAATGGATTAAATAAAATAACTAATTGTATTTCCATATCTGCAAATTTATTTTTTTGTTTGTTTTTATAAAATAAACAATTATATCTTAATAATGATTTTATATATGTATGTTCTGTTATATAAACTACAATAAATGTTATTTTTTATTTGCATTTCATTAATTGTATTTGAAATTGACTATAAATAAATTGAATTTATTTTCGAAACAAATTGTTTATTGAATAATTGATAGATATATTTATAAAATAAATTGAATTTTGTTTTGAACTGTTTCATATGAAAATATTGTGTATGTTTCGCAAGTAAATTAAATTATAAATATTCACCTACTTTTTTTCTAAAATAAATTATATAATATATTGTAATTATTACATAATTTCATTAATATAACTATATTTCATGGAGACATAGATGATGAGCACAAGTGAATTTCAATATTTTTTTGACACAGAATTTTAATTGCTGAACCTTCATATTATCCCCAAGAATTCACTTTTACCCCCAGTTCGTCGACCTCATGCTTAGTTCATGTTTATATGTTCATAAATAATATTTTTCCAATATTTCTAACAATTTCACATGTCTGATACTTAATTTAACTCACGGTTTTTTATTATAAGTTTAAATTCTTGTTATATAATCTGTACCAGTAACGAAATATAGCAATGAACTATTGAGGGTTTATTTTTATTAGATACTTTTGTTATAAACATTTAATTACTTAATTTATTTCTTGGTGCATATTTATATATAACTTCTATTTGTCTAATCTGGCAGTTATTAAATATAATAACTAGAAATTCTTAATTTAGCTAAGTGATAAAGTGATATTGATAAAACCCGGCGCATTTCATGAAGTCAATTTGTCTAATCTTTCAGTTATCAAACATAGCATGCTGCGAAGCTTAATTTAACCCACAGTTTGTATTTTCTTCCGCGAGGTATAGAATTTTTCAATTTCCACTCTTGTTGTTGTTTCCTCTGCAACTCTGCTCCGTCCAAAAAGTTTCGCAGAGGAGAATAAGATAAATGTTGCCTGATGCGCTAATATTTTATGTAAAGAAACGGCGGATCCGTAATATAAAAAGAGGAAAGATAAATAAACAATAAAGATAACAGGCGAAATTACGCCAGCCCCGGCCGTCGCATCTTGCCATGTTGATTCGATTACATTCAAGTGCCTACTCATTTTTCAACTTCACCGCCACACATTACTCCATCTCTATCTCTTTTTCTCTACGTTTTTCTTTTTCGCTACACATAAATATATCTATATATATATATATTATTTCGTTACATCTGCGAATTTTTTCTTCCCTTTTCTGGCACACTGTTACAGCGTCCGTTTTTTGGCCATTCCGTTTTTAATTTTCGGCGGTTACGTATTTAAAGGGAAGCGTTTATGACGGGTCGTCCAGGACCAGAATTTCCCGCGGGAGGACCTCCGACTTCCCGCAGGAAAAGTCCAACGCGTCCGTCCGCACTCATTACCATTAGCTACTCTCGAAACGCGTACCCGAAAGGATAATAAAGGTGTTTACGCTCCATGCACTTTTTACGAAGTTCATTACTTTCTTCTAACTAGATCCTTGAAGTTCTGACTAATAAAAAGTACAATTTAATTGTCATTAAACTATCAATTAAATTAGTCTGTCTAATTTCATTTGTATTACAGATTTTTATAACTTTTGAAGAAGTTTTTTGTAGATGGAAGGTCTTATCTTTTCATGAGAAGTAAAATTATTTTATATACAACTATTTTAATGAATCATGTAATCATGAATAATTTTGAAGTTAATAAAATAATTGCAAACAAAGAAAGTAATTTTAAATAAATTGTAATTTATCATTTTTAACTACAGAAAAAACCTACGGATTTTTAAGATCCATCTGAACGATACCCGAACTAAAATTTGATGACTGCGCCAACACAGTGGCTTTGCGTGCAATTTTGCATAAGCGTAGTTAGCATGGCAGATATATCCGCCACTTGTCCGAAAAACTAGGGGTTTTGAGTAAAGAGCCGTTTTTAATATTTTTCTTGCTTCGAAAAAGAAGGCTGTAGAAAAAGGCGATTGGATTTCAAATGTTTTAATTGATGACAATGAAGTACATGATACATTATGATATTTTTTCATTAAAAATGATTACTAGTTGCAAGAATGGACGTTTGTTCAGTACTAAGAAAAATAATTACAATCGCTATGACAACAAATTACTAAATTTTGTAATAGTTTTTTTACTGAATCAAAGTTTTATTTTACGTTTTACATATAAAGAAAGCTTGGTCAAATTTTATACTCGCGTTCAACATGTATTATACAACAATTGAACGACACATAATTTGCAACAGAAAATCAGATGAAAATCCAATATATCATAAAAATATCAAAAAAAACTTTGTGTGTTTGGTTCCTCGATTAGTC